CTTCCCTCAGCATTCCAGGTTTGGGCTCCATGGAAGTACTATGACATGGCCCTGCATTTTCATTGCCACAGCTTGGCACTGCATGGCAGCCCTACCCATAGTGAGTTTAACACCACTCTTGTGGACACATTCATTTGCAAGGATTGAGAAAGTCTACAGTCACTTCACGGTCAATTTCAGCAGATTTTGACAAATGTGCATCTGTGAAAAGACCCCAGATACAGTACTGCTCTGAACAGATTTCCCACCCTAAAATTTCCCCTCTCTTAAACTAGTCAAACTCTCTTTCCTTATTCTTCCATGATCCAGTCAGTCAGGGATCTTGTACTCTCTCTCTTATACTGTCTTCTCCAGAATGTCACATAATTAACCATTACAGAGCCTTTTAGAATGATTTCGGGAATTTTGTGGTATCTGTGTTACCTTGCTTAGTCTACCTAAAGATATCTGAATTTCATTAATCTTTTCAAAATTCAAATTACATCAATTTCTCCACTTATTTTAATTCTCTATTTCATTTTTTCTGAGTCAGCCATCATTATTCCTCCTTTACTTATGCTTATTTGGTGGTAAATTTACTCGTTTCCTCTCTCTGTATTGTAGGCAACGTTATTGTTTGTAGTCCTGTCTCTTTTTAAAATAAGCTTATGGCTCATGTTTCTGAATCTGGCTTTCTGTACCTTAGTAAATTTTGTGATACATTGCTTTTGTTTCGGTTCTCCTTTTGCAGTTTTGAGTATCAAACAGAGTAATCTCATGTGATGCACATTTTTGTATTTCATGTTTTTTTTTTCTAGTTTGTCTTGTGATATGTTATGTGCTCCACTAGATATTGGTATGTACGGAACTTGGTCCTCTACACCAAATTCATGTGTTGGTCCTGTTACAGTATCTCAGAAGCTGCCTAGGTTTGGCCACAAGTTCTTTAAAGACACACCACAGGTAAAACAAACTCAGTGTGCTCCATGTGTATGGCCATCTGCCAGCCAAGGAGATGAGCTCAGGAGAATGCCTCTGTGTGATCAAGTCTTATCTCTGTCTTCTAGCCTGCAGGACTATAAGGAAATAGATGTCTGTGGTTTAAGTTGCTAAGCCATTAGTGTGATTCAATGGCAGGCCTAGAAATCACATGAAAAAATGTGGTCATTGTACATTTCTGTTTAGTTCACACCTTAACTTTGGAACCAGACAGAAGTAACCTCCTAAAATAATTCTTATTGGGGATTTTCAGGTAGAGATATGTTACCATCTGCATAGGGTCCTGTTTTGGGCTTAGTGGGTACTAGGGATAGAGAGGGAATAATTCTCCAAACTGGGCAGGCTGAGGCCTGGACAGGAAGGTGCTAATAGGTCACACTAACATGAGGAAGAAACCTCCAGTCGCAAAGATTTGGGTCATTTTGACCACCACATTTGATTCAGATTGTGGATGATATCATAACTGTCATGGGGTTGACAGGTGTGCTCAGAATCTTGAATGTCATGGATTTCAAGAAGCAAATCATGCACTCAACCTTTGTGGGGGTGCCCAGGACCTTGAAGGTACAGAATCAGCTGGCTCTAAACAAAGGGGGGCAAACATGCATTGTTGAACCTCCTTGCCATGCAAACAAATAGGCCTCTATGTTGTGTAGCCAGGGTGTAAGGATTAATTCAGGGATACTGAGCATCACAGAAATCTCTGTAATGAAAAAGTAATGGATCTGCTGGTATTTCAGTGGCATAGGATCGTCTAATAATCCTACGTAAATGGGTTGCAATGCTCCTGTGTCCAAAAACAAAATATCAAAGACAAGCTGTGCATTGATGAAGATTTATAGAGTGGGCATAGTGTTCACACAGTAGATACTCAAACACAAACAAACATGACTTGTTAAAATTCTCTTTCTTGGAGGAGTTTCAAGCAGGTGAGATAGGCATAGAAATTCTCCAGCCTTTTTAAAGAGCCACCTAGTGTATCATAAATGGTTGGCTATAATTATCAGTCTCATTTCAATGAGGATTCTTGTTTTTCACTGACTAGCAGTTGTCTGTAACTCCCTGGCAATAACCTCCAATCTTAGCAAGCTGATAATTTCTTCCTGTCTTTGACTTCATGACCAGTCTGCTCACCTGTGAGTTGTTCCTACAGTGCACATAACTGTCCTTGTCCAAACCTCAGGACTATAGTCATTTGGTATATTGAAAACCAGGATTTCCTTGCAGAGATGAACACAATAAAAGAGACCGGAACAAAAGGTGTGCTTTATCTTTAAGATCAACAAAGCAGCACTTACCAACTACTCAGAGGACTTCAGGGTTTGGCATTCAGCCTCAGCAGATGTTTTTCCTTCTTATACTATGGTGAGCATGGTCCTGCCTCACCCAGAGCGTCTCAGGAGTTGTGGGTTTGACCACCTCCATAAGCTCACACACATGTGTTATGTGGACCTATCATAGTAACTCATCCACTTAAAATACTGTGAAACTATGGTCTCAAAGCATACCCCAGTTTACCTGATAAGAAGCGGGGAGATTCTGCTACATGCCAAATCATCACCCAATTGGTAAAATTTGACAATGTTAGTTTGTTCCTCCGGAATATAACACTGCCTAAACATCACAGTCCGAAGTTAACTTTTAGATAAAAAAAAAAAGTTGTTCCTATGGTAGGGTTGCTGGGGTGAGCAAAAGGACAGGCAAAGCCTTCTACATGACATGGCTGAGGGCAGATGATTCTAGGCTATTGGCCTGAGATTAGGGTACACCCATTAACTCCTTACTTTTACATTTTTAATTCTGCCTAGACTTCAGTGCCTTGGACTTGGGGTTGTTATGAATGCTGGGAAATATATTTATTTTTCTGAATATGGAAATAAATGCAGAAACAAAGCTGGTTTCAGGTTGGGAGAAATAGGAACAGAGTGGCCTGTAAATGACCTTATATTAAGAGCTTAGTGCTGGCCTTGTGATTTACTACACAGGGATCCTAAAAAGTTCTCAAGCTCAGTAGACCTCAGGTTGTTTTATAAAAGAGTTTGACATTTGACACACTTTTTTGGGGGGGGTTTACAGTGGAATGTAGCAAATGTATTAAACTCCCTGACAGAATTTCTGACTTGTATTGAAGGATTAGTCATACGCATCTCATTGTAGCATTACCATAAGGCCTGATACACACCACTGGAAAATTTGTGTGTTTCCCAGGGAAGTTTCAGGTCATTAGAAAAGTAAATAGATAACCAAACAAAAAGGCTACCCAGTAAATGCTCTTTCTAATCACACATATCACTTGGTTAGACATTAGAGATTCTACCCTGCTTGGGACCAGCTAATTCACAACTCATGGAATTTGGGTGAAGAATTATATCCCACTCTCTCTTGGTTTCTCTTCCACTGGAACAACTATTTTCAATTTCACCTTCACCAAAATCTAGCCTTGGGGATCACAAAGCCTCTATGACAATGTGGTCTAAAAGCTTTAGTGAAAAGGCCGTACAAATGCAGCTCCAAGAAGCTTCAAGTAAAATTAAATGCACGAACAACACTAGTATAAACTTTCTTCACAAAGGAAAAATTGGAAAATGGCCCAGATTGAGTTTTGGTATAAACCAAGGAAAGACACTTGTGAATGGTAACAAGTGTCTCTGGAGGAAGAACCACCCAGACAGGCAGTCATCTGACTATTTGTGTAACTGGACAAATCCTCATGGCCATCTTGAAAAAGTATTTGAGACAAATGAACTCACAAGGAGAAGTTGTTCCCAGGAAAGCAGTCAAAGAGACAATGCAAGATCCTTGAGGTTGGACTCTCCCACTAGAGAGCTGAGCACCTGCTCAAGGACTTCAGAGCCTCAGTTCACCTGCAACTTCCCCTCATCTCTCAAGAAATCCTTGCAGAGGCTGGGCATAAATCCCCTGGTTCATGCTCTGCATTGGACCACTCTTCTCATAGCTGTCCTGGGTGAGAATTCCTCTCAAATTCATCTACCATCTAAGAGCTTTGTTCAGAACAGTCTTTCACTCCCTGAGTTTTTTTTTTTTTTTTTTTTAATCTCAGTTCCATGACTCCTTATCTGAGACTCTGTAGTTGGCCACCTTGTAGCTGCCTTAAAATCAGTTCCTACAGAAGGAACTTCAATTAGCTCAAGCCAAAATCTGCCTTAGCTCAGTACTTACCCAGAACTGTTCTCTGCTAGACTCCAACCCCTAAGGACTCTTTTTCATGCCCATTAGACCCTTGAACATATCTCTACGCACTAGTGGTACTCCTGATCTTTACCATCCTATGAAGTAGGTTTGATCCTGCTTATTGTACTCAAATCTCTACCACAGAAACAGGCCTTCCAATGGGCACACAGGTAATGAAGGTTTGGAGCAGAGTGGCTGGGATCAGACGGACTTGTTTACTGACAGTACATTTCCCTAGTAAAACAGAAGAAAATGAGCATATTCACGTCTGCAGTAAGTAGAATTTTAATATTTCAGATCAGCAGGGGAAGAGAAATAAGAACATTATAATTGACTTTCATCCTTACTACAATTTCTAGAGTCCCTCTAACTTGATGTAAACTTCTTACAAGTTTCCAAAGAAATTCATATTATATTATTATATCATAAATAATTTGATGGTTTCCCTGTTAGTATGATAAATAAGAAACATTCTTATATTTGGAATGGAAAAGGAATTCAATTTGTGATCAATATCAAACAATCACATTTACATCAGAAAACACAAAGAACAATATCACAAAACTAAAGATACATGGAAGATAAACATCATTCTTCAAATAAATTTGCAAGCTATTTCAATCTCCTCCCCAAAGAACAAGACTTCAAAGAGTCATAAATAAACCCTTGTACAGTTCCTTGGAACTCAAATAGAAGAGACATCAAGATAGCATGTTTGACATTTGACCCTCCCCCTTGGTCCTTCACTATTTAGAAAATCCCTGCTCTCTACAAACACAGACTGAAAATGAGCATTATTTCACACTAAGTCACAATAAGCCTGTGAAGTGGTTGTCACATATTTTTTCTATTCACGGGCACTGGCTGCACGTCTTTCTTCATCTAAAGCCTCTTCATATAGCTCTGGGTAAGCCTTGGGATCTTCACTATTAAGCTTGGCCGCATGTAGTAGGATTTTCATTTTGCTGGTTTCGGCAAGGGTTCTACGGCCCCACAAAAACTCAAAGCGAGCAGGATCGCTGTTAGGAACCTGCCGGTAACTCAAATACTCTGTCCATACCAAATCTTCAACGATAAATCTCCAGGGCTCTCTAAAACTAATATTCTCTTTATGAGCTAACATCTCCCATCTTGCTAACTGTTTCCTTAGTTTCTCCTCACTGACACAATTGCCCTCTAGGAAGATTAGAGTCAGGATAAATATCAGGATGTCAACTTTGGAAACTATATTCTCCTCTTCATCCAGAATCCCACTGTAAGTGAGGCCCAATATGGGGACAAGGTCATATACTTTTCCAAAGGGATCAGCCTGCCTTATTTCAATGCCAAAGCCCAGATTTATGGACTCACAATATTCTCTAAACATTCCAAGGAAGTGCTGATGGTAACTCTGGTCCACAGTGAGCAGCATCTCATCCATGGTAACCTGCTCCTTCTTTTGATACTTGCGGAGCAGGAATGGCGTCAAATCACGTAACTGGCTATTGAAGAGCACACCTTGCAGGACCCGAGAGAAGTTTATGGGGCTGGGGTTTGCATCTGCAGGGAGTTGACCCCCTTGCATGGAAGCCATGGGGACAGCAAGAGCTTGTTGTTGAAGATTCAGATGCCTAGAGGGGAGAGAGAGAGAGAGGTTACTAGTGTTCTCACTTGAGGACAACACACTTGTTGCAACCCACAAAGACTCCCAATAGGTCTTCTTTTTGTGTGATGTTCTAGAGCTTCAGGTACTTGTGTCCTCCTTCAGGACCTGTTCCTGTGACCCTGGTACATAAAGTGATTCTTCTTCTCAGGCTGCAGTTGGACTGCAGAAGACAAGGCTCTAGGAAGATAGCATAGCATATGGAGCCTGTGGACTGTAAGATTTCCTTGCTCTGGGATAGATGGAGAGCTAGATACATAACAGGGCCTCCACTGCTGCTTAAGTGTGGACACCACCTCAGACAAAGCTGGAGCTCCTGTAGGAGGCATGGAGGCCATCAGGCTGCAGACCTCAAGCACAGTCCTGCTCCTTGAGACTTCACATGAGGGGTGGGCTGGTTGAGAGCTCCACTCTCTGCTGGGTGATCTACTCTCTGGGAGGCCCTCAACTATCGTTGAGTAGGCACTGGAGTCTAATGCATGACAGCTCCTGGCCTGAAGCAAACTCAGATTGTGTCTTCCCTTTTCTGAGAGGGATCACAATTCAGGGTGATACATACCATGCTGCAGCTGCCTGGAGGCAACAGCTGCAGGTGGAAAAATTCAGTGAGATTCATATACCCTAGAAAAAGGAGCCTATCCCATCATTATTGTGATGAATGTTTAGGTCTAGGACTCTCCCTACAGTGACTTGTGGCCTTTAAAAAAATCCCTGCAATACTGCTGTGAGACAATCAGTAAATAGGGGAAAGCCAGTCTACCTCTGTTTCTGGGTCCAACAACAGGTGACAAAATGGATAGGCTGATAAGTTAGTGTGTGTTTAGGTGAGTGGATTTCTCTGCCTCCCCTGGACCCTAGACCCTAGGAACTTACTCCTGCTGTCCCAATTCCAGCCTCATTGTACAGAGAAAGCCCTTCACTTCACTGAGGGCAATAATGCAGAACTAAGAGCAGTCTCAGCCTGTCAGTGACACCCAGTCTCCCTCAGATGAAAGAAACCACAGGTCCCATGTCAAAGAACCACATGCCTGTCTGAGTTCAGGGACCCTAAATCATTCCTTAGTGTTTCCACCTTGATTCTTGGAAGATAAAGGAAAAGGGTAGTATCTGACCAGATGGAGTTCTATGTGCCAACCTGCAGAAGTCACCTCAGATGAAGTCCCTCACACTTCCTTGAGATCCCCTAGAGTTTCAAAAGAAGTGAGCAGGTGCCCATCACATCACTCCTATGTGGAGACATCTCTCCTGTGATGCAGGGGCCTATCATGATGTAAGTCTAGATCTCACCACATTGTGTCCAAGGGATCATAGGCAGGAACTTTGAAGAGGACTGGAAGGGGATTGGACTATGGAAACTTACAGCTGACATGCTGTTAAGAAACGGGGCCTTGTAGGAAGAGGGTCACTGTGGGTATGACCTTGTAGGTTATATCTTTCTTCCTGGCTCCTTTCACCCTCTGTTTGCTGGAGGGCTTATAGTGAGCCGCTTTTCACCCACCAAACCCTTCTGATCAGCTGTTCTATCTTGGAGCTCACTATGGACTAAAAATTTCACAAATTGTGAGCCCAAATCAACTTTTATTCCATTAAACTGTAAGCTCCAGGTACTGAATCTCAGCAATGAGAACATAAGCAAGGCAAAATGTATGTGCTTGTATAGTTTCTCCATCTTTCTTCTGTCTGTGCTTGCCCTCCCTCAGCTCCACACCTGCCAAGATAAGCTGCTCTCCTCTTTGGAGACCTAGACCTCATCTTTCAGACCCATGGTGGCAGTAAGCATGTCAGTTGGAGCCTCCCACGGCTGATCTAGGGAACAGGCAGAATCTTCAGGATCTGCTTTTCTCTGGGCTCCAAACTCAGTCCTCATAAAGGAGACCATATCTTGGGTCGATCAACTCCTGCAGTCCTCCAATTACTAACCATATGTAACTCCTCCTACTGACTTATAGTCACCTCTTGGATGAAGTTCCTGACCACTGTGAGTTCTTCCACATGCAACCACTGAGTAGTATTCGGGGCCATCATTTTGAAAGTCACTGCAATACTACCGTGTGGTATTGTAAATAGGGGAAAGCCAAGTGTACCTCTGTTTCCTGGGTCTGACTACAGGTGACCAAATGGTTAGGCTGATGATAAGCTGTGTGTTTTCAGGTGAGCTGTACAGTCACTCTTACCAGAAACTCAAGGCTGATAACACAGGAAACCAGCCTCTATGGGGTCCTTCTGTTTATGTGGGTATGTAACCTTGAAATCTTCAGTGCTGGAAAATAGAGTGATGAGCAATAGCAGTTCAGTTGCTCCAAGATTCTGAATGAAGACTGAAAATTATAACTGAGGAAAGAGGAAAAAAACAAGAAATAAAATTAAGCAGATACCCAGGATTCCTGAATGACCTGACATGAAATTTATAAACTACAGAGAGCTCTGGAAACATTAGCCAGAGCAAGTAGGCAATAGAAAAAAAAAATGAAAGGAATATGGCTAGGAAATGACAAAGTTATCATGATTTGTTTGTGACACAATACTCTACATAGAAGAACCCAGAAAGTCCACAAAAGACTTCTAGAATTAATAACTAAACAGAAGCGTGACAAAGTCAACACTCAAAAACAAATAGCACCATAGCTCATGAAATAACTCACTGAGAGAGAAATTTGGGAAATCAGACCTTTTGTAATAGCATGAAGCAAAATGAAATACACTTAGGAATCATCCTAACAATGGAAGTGAGAGACTTATACATCGAAAACTACAGTAATCTGAAAAAAATAAGATCAAAGATAATGTTAGAAAAATGAAGATATTCCTTGTTCTTAGATAGGCAGAACCAATATTGTAAAAATGGTCATACTTCCAAAACTCTTATACATATTTAATGCAATTTCAAACAAAATACTAATAGCATAATTTGCAGTACTAGAAAAATCAATGCTAAAATTCTCACGGAAGCAGAAGAGACCTACTATAGCAAAAATAATTCCGGGCAACAAGAGCAAGGCAGGGGTATCACAATTCCCAATTCAAAGATATACTACAAATCTACCATGATAAAAAAGCATTGTACCAGCACAAAAATGGAAAGAAGAATCAATAGAACAAAATAGAAGGTGCAGAAATGACTAAACAGTCAGATGCCTTTTCTATACCAAAGGGCCCAAATGCCCAAATGCCTTTCACTGGAAGAACGATAGTCTCTTCAATAAATGGTGCTGGGAAAATTGACTTTCCATGGCCAAAAATTGAACCTAGACCCATATCTTTCACAATACACTAAATTAAAATTGAAATTGATTAAGAAAATAAATATAAAACAGGAACAATTAGCTGCTGCAAGACAGAATACGCAAAATCCTAGAAGATATAGGTGTGGACATAAACTTTATGAACAAAAAACCAGTTACATAGGAATGAGTTTTGGCATATGAACATTTTCACAACATTGGTTCTACCTAAAAATAATGGATATCTTTGCATTTTATGATATTACATTTGTTTTTGAAAGAATCAACAATTTGGATCATATCAAATTAAAAAGCCTTTGATCAGCAAAAGAAACCAACAATGTGAATGGACAACAGAACAGCAAAAATTTTATCATGTGCTTTTCAAACAAAACACTAACATATAGAATATATAAAGAACTAAAAATTAGCCACTGAAATAGACATTTCTCAGATGAAGAAATACAAATAGCATATAAATGGATGAAAATGCTCAATATCAGTGGTCATTGGAGAAATATCCAAAATAAACACTAAACTTCCATCTCACTCCACAAAGAATGGCTATCAAGATATCAAGAAATAAAATGCTGGTCAGGATGTTGGTAAGAAAGAACACTCCTGAAGTGCTGGGGGAATGTAAACTGTTTCGGCCACAATGGAAATCAATATGGAAATTTCAAAAAAAAAAAAAAAGACTAAAACTAGAGGTTCTACTTGATCCAGTTGTTCCCCTTCTAGGCATCTCCCTGAAAGAGTCAAAAGCATCATATCACAGTTGAATATGCATATCCATATTTACAGCAGCAAAATTTATAATAGCTAAATCTTAAAAAATTTAAGAAAATAGAAAGCATATTCAACAGAAAGGGGAACAAGATGTGGTGGAAGTGGTGAGGAAAGGAGCAGAAAAAGGTTTTAAAGAAAAAGAATTGAAAAGAAAAAAGTGGAATTTTTGTAAATGGGATAGGAATGGGGAAAAAATTAAGATACGTTACACATGTACAAAACCCCAGGATGATTGTGATCATTATGCACTGCAAACATGTACTATTGAAAATTACAGAGACATTAAAGAGACAGACTAAATCACAAAGTAGGAAACAAAATCGATCTGGAAATTTTTCCTGGCTCTTGACTCTTGGCAAAGGGATCAAATGTATAGAACCAAAGTGAAACCTGAGAACTTCAGGAGGATTCCAGAAAAAAAAAAAAAAAAAAAAAAAAAAAAAAAAAAAAAAAGATAGTGGCCCAATGGACCAGTGGTTGCTGTGATCTTCAAGGATAGTGTGAAGTTCTGCTCCCACAGAGTCATTACACAGCAAACATCAAGGGATGAACCCCTGTGCAGGTGCCAAACATACCCTTGGAAATTGCATGGGGTTGGATTCCATTCTAGGAAGGGTTGAGTGTTCCAACCTGGACTTTAGCACAGCCACGGGGCAGCTTCACATCAGGCTCACAGTGTTACCCTCCCACAGTGACTCGGTGAGAGACATTCTCAGGAAAAGGCTGTGGCTAGGGAGCAGACTAGAAACAGAACCCCTGAGCATATTGAGATCAGCTGGAAAAGGCACAGGTCCTGTCCTTGCAGCCAGGGTTTAAGAGCAGTACGAGTTGCTCTGGATTTGAAAATATAGGCATTGATTATTCTAACCATTGAAGAGACAGAAAAAATACAAAGAAGGAATAAATTGAATAGTTGGTTCACTGAAACAATATACAAAATTGTCAAAGCCCTATCATTTCAACCAAAGGAAGAAAAAAAAAAAAAACAGACCAAAATCCAAACAATTATAAATGTTTTATTTTATGGAGAAAAAGTAAAAGAAAATCTCATGACAAAACAATAGGAGAATAACAAAAGTTAATACAGTGCATATTTTTATCTCTAAAGTACTTATTCAGAGTGTAAGATACGTGCATTACATTTTTTTGCAAACTGATTATTAGCACCTTTTAATGAACTAAGAGACATCAGTAGTATAAGTGACTTGTTTTTTTCCCCTTTTTCTCTTCCATCCTTTCCCCTCTTTACCGTCCTAGTTCTCTTTTCCCTTTGAACTCCTTACAAATGTTAAAGGCAAAAATCACAACGGATTGAGCTGTAATGCTGAAAATCATTCAAAATTACTTTAAGAACCAATAAACGAGAGTATTAAGAAATGTATAAATTCCTAGGTATATATGAACTCCCAAAGCTAAAACAAGATATGAAAGTTGTGTACAATCCTATATCAGCCAATAAAATTGAAGATTTTAAAAGTAATAATACAAGCTATGTCCTGAGAGACTCATTTACCAAAATGCCAATATTAATCAAAACACTTAATGAAGTTGAGGGAGCAGCCAAATTCCCAAAGTCATTCCAGGAAACAAGCATTACCCTGATTTCAAAGTGAGAAAGGCATCCAACCAGAAAGGAAAACTTCAGGCTACTCACTTGCATAAACATGAATGCACAATCCTTAGTAAGATTCTGGCAAGCAGAAGGCAACAAATCAAAAATATCATACATCAATATGAAGTATGATTCACAGATGAAAGGATGGCTCAATATACCTAAATAAAAATATAATACAATGCACAAAAAGATAGGATTAAAATACATGATCATATTAATAGACACAATATTTGACAAAATCTGATATCCACTCATAATGAGAATCCTTAATAAAGTATAGAAGAACCTCAATTCAACTTCATAGAACCACCTAAGACAAACCCAGGGCCAAATTCATACTGAATGGGGAGAAGCAGAAAGCTTTTCCTATAAAATCAGGAATAGGACAAGAATGATACTGTCACAATTCCTGTTCAGTGAAATTCTCAACACATTAGTCAGAACAATCAGGCCAGGGAAAGAAATTTAGATGTATAGGAAACGGCGAAAATTAAACCAACATTTGAAGATGACATGACCTCTAAGCACCCCCCAAATTCACTAAAAGACTGCTAGAATTAGTAACCCAGTTCAGTAGCCTACCAGATTACAAACACACCACACACACACACACACACACACACACACACACACACACACAAATCAATTTCATTTCTGTACCTCAGTAATAAACTCACCAAGAAAGAAAACGAAATCCTACTTTTCACAGTAGCATCAAGAAAAATGAAATACTTTAGGAACTGACCTAACTAATGAAATGAAAAACATCTAAATGAAAACCACACTATGAGAAAAGAAAAAGATTGGAGAAGATATAAGAAAATCAAAAGATATACTGTGGCTGCACAGGCAGAATGAATGTAGTCAAAACTGTCATACTTCCAAAACTATTAGTACACAAAAATAATGCAATCCCAATCCAAATACCAACAGCATTTCTCATAGAATGAAGGAGATCATTCCTAAAAGTCATATGGAACCAGCACAGACCTAAAGAATAAGAGCAATCATAAGCCACAAGTTCAATACAGGAAGCATCATAATTCCAGACCTCATATTATAGTCCAGACTTAGCATAATGAAACAGCATGTCACTGGAAAAAAACAGACTTATGGGTGAGTAGAACAGAACTCAGGGTGTAGAAGCAACACACAAAGCAATATCAGCTACCTTTTCTTTGACACAGAAACAAATACTTTTGCTGGCGGAAGAATGGCCTCTATGACAAACAGAGCTGTGATAATTGGCTCTCCACCTAGACCCATTATCACTCACCATGCACTGAACTAAAATCAAAATGCATCAAAGATCTAAATATTAAAGCAGAAACAATCTGCTGAAACAAAGTAGGCAAAACTGGAAGACACAGGCTTAGGCAAGTTTTTTTTTTTTTTTTTTTTATACAGAATTCCAGGAGAACAATAAATAATACTAAAAACCAACAAATTGGATCATATCAAATTAAAAATTATTTGCACATCAAAAGAAACAATGAACAGAGTAAACAGACTATCTGCAGAATGGAATAATTTGATAACTATTTCTCAGGAAATGGATGAGAATGCAGAATATACAAAAACTCAAAGAATTCTCACTCAATTAAAAGGTATGCGTTTCTGAACATACTGGCACCTCTAATGAAAAAAGTATGAATGACCAATAAATACATTAAAATGTCAATGTCGTTGACCATTTGATAAATGTCAATTGAAAGAAAACTGATATTTCATCTTACTCCAGATAGATTAGAAATCAAATGATAGAAAATGCTGGTGAGGCTAACAGGGCAAAAAGGAGTAACTCTTCGCTGTTCGGTGGAGTGTAGACAGGTGCAAACGCTATGGAGACCTCCATGGAGATTACTTGGAAGGCCACAGCAGAAATAAAGTTCAGCTGTGGTGTTCCCCTAAGTTTCTTGCTGTGAAAATTAGCCATTGAATTACAGTGATACACACCCATGTTTATAGCAGCAAATTTCACAATAACTACATCTTCAAAAGAGCCAGCAGATGGATGAATAAAATGTGATATTTATGCAAGATGCAGTACTACACTTCAACAAAAAAAAATGAGTCATTTGTAGGAAAAATGTATAAATCTCAAGTCCATAATGTTAAAAGGAGTAAATCAGATATGCAATCTTAAATAGTGCATAGTTTCTCTTATATAAGAAAGCCAAAATATAAAGAGTAGAAGAAAATACAAATAAGAGTAAATGAGACATATTTTTAGCATATGGGAGGGAATCAACAGATTTAGATACAGGAGACAATAAACAGGTATTTGAAGTTTGATGTCTACCAAGACCCTATGAGGAAAGTGGTCATTACAGACTCGAAACATGTATAATGCATATTAAATATATATATATATATATATATATATATGCATATATTTACACATATATATTTTCAACCCATGCAAGGAGGAGGAGTAAGGACGGGAAAAAGGGATAAAAAAGAATGAAAATGTCTCAGGTAATTGTACCAATCTCCTACAATAAATGTATTCTTGTATTGCAAACATGTTCCAATAAAAACAACTTTCATTCCTCATGTGAGTTCCTAACCTCGATTTCAGGCAGATACTGGGCTGCTCCTATTGCAGACAAGAAAGGTTTTCTAAATGACCTGATGATACTCACAGCAAGGGCCACCTCTTGAGAGCACAGAGACCAAAATGCAGCACATCTGGACACCTCTGCAAGGGTTTCTCCAGACTTAGAGTAGCAGAGGCCCTCCCTTGTCTGGTGCAGGTTCAGCTGTTCCTATTTCCCCACTGCTGACCTGTGGATGCAGCTGATACAGCAAGTCCACCATCTCCCTGGCGTACCAGGGGTGGAAATAAAGGGAAGGGAGTTTCCTCTCCACAATCCTGCCCGAGGCCACCCCAGCCTGCCAGCAGGGACAGACTTCCTATCTCTTGGATCTGTTGACCTGAGACCACAGTGCTCAAACTAAGGCCCCTTCTGCCTGGTCCCAAGAGCCAGGGGCAAAGGTGCTCTGTATCCTCCAGAGGATGATGTCTGGGTGGAGGTTACCCTCTGATTGAGCATGTATCTTCTCAATGTCCCTCTACATCCTCCCCTTGAGTCCTGGATACATCTTCCCTCAGATTTTAAGTGGGAACATCAGGATCCACTCAGGTTAAAAGAATAGACAGGGTAGTCCTCCTCTCTCAAGTGTTCTGGGCTCTGCAGTCCTGTCTCATTTCTCATCTGGGCTGGACCACAGCCTGTGTCCCCCTTTTATCTCAGACTCTGTTCTTTATTCAAAGTCCTTAGTGTCCCTGAAACCCTGTTGAAGTCAGGCATCCTTTTTCTGATTATTCTGCATGGGATATCCCTGGACTAAGAGCACTGGCAGGATTTCATGGATTGTACTCTGCTCCAGAGTGTAAGGCAACTTTCCCTGTGACCAAGATTGTCACCATTTTCAGAGCCCACTTTTAGAAGTTGGGAGAGTACACATCCAGGCACCAGGTTGTTCCAGGCCTGACAACAGAGACAGAGAAGTCCCCTGTGGGGATTCATCTAGTGAGGAAGGGTGGATCCCCTAATTTCTCCCTCTGGGTCCTGACCCTGGTTCCAGGAAGTCCAAACTTCTTATCCCACTTTTCTGAGTGTGCCTTGTCACATCAAGGCCAAAAGAAGAAGAGGGCTCATTCTTCCAAGCCTGCCCCTGTGGATCCTAGACCAACAACAGAGATTGATCTGGGTTGTTCATAGACAGCTGTGCCTGGCTAAGATCCCTGCTATGCTCGGGAGGTGGTGGACTTGATGTGCAGATGCATCTGCTGGTCAGCAGTGGGGAAATGTGAACAGATGGATGTGCGCAAGACCAGGGAGGGCCTCTGGATTTTAATCCTCTGACCCCCTTCAGGAGCTCACCTGGAGTGGAAACTGCTTCTCTCTGCTCTCCTCGCATGAAGGACGGCCAGCAGAATGAGTCCCTCACCTTTGTCTGATGCCAGAGGCAGAAATCGGTGGTCTCTCACAGACCTTCACAGAGCCAACAGGAAGTTCTAAAAGAAATTTTCCTTAGGCTCTCTGGCCTCCATCAGACCTCACCTTGTCTTTCCCAAAGCCAGACTCCCACATTCTGTGTCAACTCCAGTGTGTCCCCCTTTGGAAAAATATCTGACACTTGGGGATATCTAAGGCAGAAAGATCATGACGGGCATGGGGAATGCAATGGACTGGCCTGGTGAGTGAGTCCCAGGTGTAAGGCTAGAACATGTCTAATATTTCGGGACCCACATCTTGGCTCAGGACTTCCACATTTACCCCATAGCCCCTCAGCCTGACCTAGCTCACCCAGGTCCTCTCTGCTGCTCTCAATTTAAGCAGGGACCTCAGAACCAGGGGTTCTAAATTCCAGGGATACCCTGGGGCAAAGGGGACACTCACCTGAGAATTGTCCACTGCACAGTGCACGGGTTTCAACATAGGCAGATATGCATTGCTGTCAGACTCTCAGCCTGGAGTGGGGCCTTCCTTCTTATCCTCAGCCTCTGAATTTAAGCAATTTTGGTTCTTCTCAGCACACCTGAAGTGCAGATCTCAGAACAAGGCTCTGACTTCCAGGATCACCTGTGAGAGACAGGGGCTAGTGGCTTATACTAAACATCTGTGCCTGTGTGGGGTGGGTCAGACAGCAGAAAGAGATCTGGATTAGTTAAAGAAACTCCAGGTGAGGTGAGGTTTTAACAGTGGCCCTGTAGCCTCAGTTCGTTTTGCCTAATTTAAATCTCTGTTTCCAGCAGCTCACAGCGAGTCCTCAGAGATAGGCACTAACTATAACTTGGCGGCCGACATGAAAAGAGTGCTGCTTTAAGAATTTTCACCTTCTGGAGGGCTAACAACAAACTCAGGTCTGGGAACCCTCTCTCAGGTGGGGTTTCTTGACTCTGCCTCCAGCCCTGCGTTGGTGTAGTTGACCTCAGGTCTTTTGCTCTTTCTACCTGAAGGACAGGCCTTAGAAAAACTCTGACTCTCACTTCCCAGTGCGGAAAAGAGGGAAGTCTTCTGAGAACCTTGCACTGGGTGGTACAGGGCAGGGGAAAGAGGTTTTTCCAGAACATTCCACAACCTCACTGCAGTAAAAATTCCTCAGAACCACCCACAGCCCCTCATTTGGGCATACCTGATCCCAAGCTCTCTCTATTCCTCTCACCTGAAGCTGAGTCCTCAGAACAAGGTTCTGAAATCTTTTAAGGTCCCAGGAAAAATAAAGGGGGTTCTCACCTGGGAATTTTCTATCACATGTAACCCATGGAGAGGGAACAAAAGCGTTTCTAGAATACTATGAAACCTTCTCTCTGGAATGGGGGTTCGTTAGCTCTCGCTCAGCAGTCTGCTTGTTCTCAATTTGACTAGTACTCTCATCTCCCACTTGAAGCTAGGAGCTCAGCACAAGAACTTAAAATGTGGAGATACTTCTTAATTCTTTTTATGAGGTCAGCGTTAGTATAACTCCCAAGACTGGACAAAGGCACTATAATAAGCCACAGACCACTGTCACCTGTGAATATAAATGGTAACATTCTCTCCCCAAGTTTATCAAATTCAATCCAACCAGATTAAAAATGATAATGTATCACAACTAGGTAGATTTAAAATAAAATAGCAAAGCTGTTTCAACATTAAAAAATCACTCAGTATGTCTTAGTAAATAAGAAAACATAAAATCATATCAATTGTTGTAGGAGAAGCATTAGGTAAAAGCCAATAGCATTTCTGATTTTTAAAAATCTTCTCACAGCAGGAATAAAAATGTAATTCTGCCTTAGGAAGAGCATCCTCTAAAATTCTAATGCTAGTAATATGCTTTAAAGTGTAAGATGTGATGTTTTCTTTGTAAATTGAAAACAAAGCAAGAATATGTGTTTTCAGTAGTCCTGTTCAACACACATTGGAAAGGAAGAAATAAAACCCTCTATTAGCAGAGAATCATTATCTAAGCAAAAATCCAATGGATGCTGAAGTAGCTCTTCAGTCAGCAAAAAATCGATAGTCCTACTACATAAGTTCAATACTGGACCCCAAAATTATTTGTGTTTGTATACATTAGGCAAGTAAATTTTGGAAATAGACATTTTATCACCTTTATTGAAGTGTAATTTTTCTTTGCAAATTGTAAATATTTAATGTATACAATTCAGTTTGGATATATCACACACCATACAATCATCATAATAATCAATATAACAAACATGTAATCACATTCAAAAGTTACCTTGCCTTTCATTGTATTTGATAAGAGTTTATAGCACGAAATCTAGCCTCTTAATTGAAAGGTTATACTAATTGAACAATAATGCTCCATTTCCTTCCCTTCTTAGATCCTGAAACCATAATTTTATTTTCTGCTTCTATGGGCTTAACTATTTTTGATACTGCATATAGGTGAATCATTCCATGTGTGATTTTTATTAGTGGTTTATTTCATGTAGTATAATATAAAAGAAGCCTCATTTAGAGTACCTATAAACACCTATAAATCTGACAAATTATTCATAGGTTTGAAATGCAGAAAACTATAAAACAATGCCTATGAAAATAGAAGACGGAAACAATAGAAAGACAAAGTATGGTCTTTCTTGGAAGACTTGCTGTCATTAAGATATGAATTCTCTAGAGATTGACCTATGGATATAGTACCATAAAGACACAGCAGGCTTGGTTTATTTATTTATGTATTCATTTTTCAGGAGCGCGGCTTGACTCTATGGACTTTGTGCTGAGCTATGATCATAGCTCTTTTTTCCCCTTTTGGGATAGGGTCTGTTTGTGGCACTGAGTTCCCCAGCCTGGGTTGAAATTTGCAATCCTCCTACCTCCGCCACCTAGGAATTATAGGCATGTGCCACCACACCCAGGTACACAGTAGGATATTTGTGAATACCAACAAAATGATTCTGAGTTCCATATGGAAAGGAATTTGAGATAAAACAAAATTAGAGGCTTGACTCTGCTCCTAAGATTTCATATAAATTGATAGCAAACCAAGACAGTATGACACTGCTGGATCCCTAACTGAGCACAGCCAGCTCTGCTTCTCATATGTGAAGCAAGGATCTCAGAAGGGACCTCACCCTGCACTGACCTCACAAGGACAAGTCAGGGAGGTCACAATAAGCCACATGCCTGTAATCTCAGAGCTGATTGAAGGAGCAGGATGGGAGTCTTGATGTCACCTCCTTCCTCCCTAAGCTCCTGTCAGGGCCTGGAACCCCGTCTTCTTATGAACCTGAGTCTATTCCCTCTCCGAAATCTTCTAAGTGCAAAAAGGTCTCCCTGAAAATCTTCCCTGAGAGTGCAGGGCTTACAAGGAAGGAGATTGGCTTGTTTTTGGACCCTCTCTTTGAGTTGAGGCTTCCTTACAACATCCAAAGCTTATCACCTTGATACCCTAATTGAGGATGGGTCTGTCTGTTACCTTCATCTGAAGAAAGGAATCAGAATAAGACCCTAAGGAAGATTTGAACCACAGTTCAGGCAGTCAGTGGATGTCACATCCAGTATTATGTGCAGGACCTGACTGCAAAAGCAGAATAAAATTCTCCAGGTCCCCTCTGTTATCCATGGGGTGGTCAACTTCATTCCAAGCAGAGCCTCTACCCTGGTTCTGCCCATATCATTGCTTCCTTTAGTCTCCGGGAGTCCCCTATGGTGGTAGCTGTAAGCTAGGAAGGGAGCGTTCAGGCTGTCATCACTGTGGGGTGTTCCCCGTACTGATCTTCAGGGCTAGGCTGAGGTCCCCAGGGATTTTGTGCCCTAAGGACTGTCATGCCCTCTTATAACATCTTTTATCAGAGAGAAGCAGATCTCCTCATCTTTTCTTTTTAAAACATTGATGTTGATTGGGAAGAGTGTGAGCAATATCAGGTTTTGGGTGGCAAAACCTGTTTATGTGAAGTGGTCTCACACTTCATTATCCAGGACATGATTTTCACTTTCTAAGATTCATTTAGAGTCAGGAAGCTATTTGACACCTCTGCTAAATGTTTGTGTGTTTCTGTTTCTATTGTATAAAGTGTCTGTGTTGAGTATGTTTATATGGAGGATATGTGCACATGTATTAGTTTATTATATATGTCCAATGGAAAAGTATTTTATGTATATGTTTGTACCTAGATATAGGTACACTTCAGATGCTTATTTGGTTAAAGCATATCTACTTTTTCTATGTAAGACTTAATTTTTACTTGCTATTCTAATTTTAGTACATTCATCATATTCCATTAAAATAGTGAATGTTTTGAAAGCCATTCCTTACCCACCAGGGCAGGGTCAGGTGGTTACTACCCTGTTGTTGTTCATAGGTCATTGGCATCTCTGGTATGAGGCCCTTCTTCAGCCCGTGCAGTGATTCAGAGGCAGGAGTTTCAAAACTGTCCTCTGGCTGATGCTATCCTGCGCTACCTGTGCAGCCCTCAGCTTCCTGCCCCTATCCACGCACACACAGGGACCAGCTCCACAGTCTGCAGTCTCCCCCAGGCCTTCCTCATGCTTTGCTGTTTACAGGGAGTTGCTTATGTGGGCTTGCTAGGTTGTCTGTTTTTTCTGGTGGTTAATTTCAGAAGCACAAGACAATAATTCACACTTCATTTTCACGTTGCTACAATAAGTACAATGGCAAGGATCGAAGGGCTAATTTGTTTATGTTTTTAGTTTGTAAAGGCTGTGTCTACAACCGAAACAGCATGAGAGAAGGTCTTGGAGGCACAAAGTTGCTTGGTTTAGGGTGGCTGGGAAGCATAACTAATGAAAAGTACTGGAGTGGAAGGGACCAGAAGCTATATATATATATATATATACACACACACACACACACACACACACATATTAACCTGTTTGTTGATTTGTCAAGATTAATTATCAAAAACTTTTTAATAAGATGGGATCCCTGTTGATTCTTTGAAGTACTTCCAATAGAGTGAAAAGAAAATCCACAGAGTAGAAAAAAAATGTTAGCCAATTATCCCTCAGACAAAAGATGCATATCTAGAAGACCTAAGAACTGAAAAAAATCAGATCACTCAAATTCAAATGCCCAGTTCAAAAATGGGCATCTGAGATGAATACATAATTCCCAGATGAAGAAACACACATGAAAATAAATACATGAAAAAATGTTCAACATGATTGCTCATTTGAGACATGCAAATCAATAAAACAGTGACATTCCATCTCACTCCAGAAACAATGGCTATCATCTAGAAATGAATCAATAAATGATGGAGGGACTATGGGAAAAGTGGAACCCTTCTCTACTGTGGGGGGAGTGTAGATTGGTATAACCAGTGTGGAAATCAGTATGGAGATTCCTCAAAAACTAGGATTAGCATCCCATTTGACCAAGCTACTCACCTTCTTGGTATTTTCCAGAAAAATTAAAACATCACACCATAGCAGCACAATGTATAATAGGTAAGTCTTAGAAACAACTGAATTGTCAATCAACCAAGAAATGGATAAAAAGATGAGGTATTTTTATACAATGGAGTACTACTCAGATATAAAGAAGGAAATCTTGAGGATTGTTATAGGTA